GCCAGCCCGGGCAGGAGAGACCGTGAGACTCCTATCTCCAATAAACCACCAGAAAACCGGAAGTGGCACTGTAGCTCAAGTGGTAGAGCGCTCGCCTTGAACTGAAGAGCTGAGGGACAGCGCCCAGGCCCAGAGTTCAAGCCCCACGACCAACAACAACAAAAAAAAACCTGCTCAATAATTTTACTAGAGATAGGGTTTTTTTTTTCTTTTTTTGTAGACAGGATCTGGCTGATTCTGGTGGCCTGGAACTCATTATGTACCTGAGGCTGATGAGCTGTGACCCACAATCCTCCTGCCTTAGACTCCCAAATGCTGAGATTAAAGGCATAATACCACCAAGCCTGGCCAGATGTCATGATCTGATTTAAGGTTTTTTCTTAAGCTGGTATTTTGAACCTTGACTTAAAGAAGACTCACACTTTTATCAATAATAGAGTAATAAAATTAAAGCATGTATATACATTCTATGAGCTACTGAGTTCCAGAGGAGTTAATAGCTGTTTTAAGATTACAAAATCCATATGTAGATAAGATTATATATGACAGAATAAATAGCTCACACTTAAATTCTTTAAATTTCCAAATGGAAACAGATGTTATGAGCAATAGGATGCTACTATTATTAAACACGATAAACGCATCATGAGTTTGGGAAACTGTATTTTCATAACCAATATATACTCTTACGGGGAGAGGCCTTCAAAGTTTTTGAGTTTAAAGAGACTCTCACAACTACAAAGGTTGGAAAACTCTGTTCTAAAAGATTAGACATGGTTTTTGTAGACACTGTATAAATAAAAGTGTTTGAATCTGGTAATTCAAGTATTTGAATGTAACTGTTCTTGAGTAACTTTCTACAGAGAATATACACAGATGTGTAGCCAAATAAGTATTAAATTAAAACCATGTATCTTCTTCAAAGATAACTTAATATGCTAGAATGAAATTAGTACTGTAGGATCAAAGTTTACGAGATCACAATAGAAGATCCCTATTACTTCCACAAATAACAATCATGTCCAATAACATGAATATATCCCCAAATTATCTCAGATTAGAAGACTGATGAAAAAGCCTGGTTTTATGGAGCTTGCAAAGAAAGTACTTTTTGCTGTTAATAGCTATTCTTGACCTCCCATCTAACCCCCCCTTTAAAGTATTTTTTGCTACAGAAACACACCTCAGTGGTTACATAATCTCCCAAACAGCTTCCAGGAACTGGAAAGTGAGTGGGAGGATACTGTAATAAGATTTCTTTTTTTCTTACTATTTTCAATATGTTCCTTATTTTTAGTTCACTTGCTAGTTTATTAGAGAGTATTCTGGCATCTGCTCTTTTTTTAGACTGTGCAAATTGGAAATATTTCTCACAATGTTTTAATCTGGTCAAAACTAGAACACTCAGCTCTCATGTCCTATGAAGATTTTAAACAGGGTCCTTACAGTCTTTCTTTCATCATGGAAAGGAAGAATAAGACAACACAGAAGAAGATTATTACTAATATTCTGGTGATATCTGATCAAACCCAGAGATATTAAGAGCTATCTGGCTTATCAATAGCTTTGCAATATGATTTTACTTGATTCCCTAGAACTGTCTCTGTCTCCCTTTTATAAGAACAATGAGGCACTACACGTAATTGGTCTCCCTCCCCCCCATCCCCCACTCCTAAGGATTAAACCCAGGGCTCCCTAGCCTATTTCTTTGTACTGCTTTTGAGACAGAGTCTTTTTCCTTGGATTAGCCTCAAGCTCTCACTCCTCCTGTCTCCCAAGTAGCTAAGATTATAGGCTTGTGTGCTACCATGCCTAGCTTTGATTCTTTAATAGGTCTCTAGTAATATATGTCTGGTATTTTTAAGGCAAATAGAAAAAAAATCATGACTCCAATCTTTTTTATAATTTTTTCAAATTTTGAGTATAAATTACACTGCTACTTATTACAGTCTCTATTCTATACAGTAGATCATTCATCTTTATTTTCCCCCGCTAAGCAAAACTTTGCACTCATTAAGCAATACGTTCCTTTGCCTCATCCACCCCTTCCCAACTCCTGGCAAGTCTCATTTTACTCTCCACTTCCCACAAGTAACATTAGTTTCTATTCATATCTCTGTGTTAGTTTATATCTAACAATTAGGTTAAAGAATAAAGTAGTTACCTTTAGTTTATGTGCTTCTTTTTTATCCCCAGCAAAAAATGAATTCTCATCAAAATGCAAAGGGAATGACCTGTATTACAAAACAGAGAATATTTATTGTTTTATCAACATTGAAACTCTCACAACATGATGTTTTACTGGGCATTGGTATATTTAGAGCAGAAAATAGAGTATTTATAAATATTAAAACTCCTGTTAATAGACTAGGAAGGTGGCTCAGTGGTAGAGTGCTTGCCTTGCATGCATGAGGTTCTGGGTTCAATTCCTCAGCACCACATAAGCAGAAAAGGCCAGAAGTGGTGCTGTGGCTCAAGTGGTTAAGCATTAACCTTGAGCTAAATTGCTGAAGGACAGCACTCAGGCCCAGAGCTCAAGCCCCATAACTGACAAAAAAAAAAAAAAGTCTTGCTAATACAGTATTTTACTGGCCAGTGAAAATAATGTGATTAAACTAAGAGTAGAAAACATTAACACCAACAATGATCAAATGAATTCTGATACTTGACCTAAATGCTAACTAACTGCAGAATACTGTCACCTGTGCAAGTATTAAAAAGTAAAAGAATGGATGTTAAAACTAAAAATATGTTCTTTATTGTACACAGGTCAAAACAAACAAGCAAAAAACACCTGAAAATCAATTCTAAAAAAAAATGAGTAAATTTAATTTGTTTTTTCTTTAATTTTTTAAATTTGTTTTTTATTTCTTTTTCTCTTTTTAGCAATACTGTGGTTTGAACACAGGCAATGAAATTGCTAAGCAGGAACTCTACCACCTGATCCACACCTCTAGCCCCTAATTAATTTTAAATAGTTTTCCTTTCTCTAAATATCCAAGAGCTTAATTTTAGATAGCAATTTGGCACCCATATATTAAAGTATACATTCTCATATATATAATTTACTTGATTTCATGAAGTATTTCCAGAAGTAACATTTTGTTTTCTGCATCCTGAATTTTATTTCCAGTGAAGAGTTGAAAATCTGGGCGTTCAAAGAATGGTAACACTTTGGATAAGGCCCTTAATTCTATTAAGTAGAGAAAATATAAGTTCTTAAGCCTTCTTGGGCCTTCTCCTTCTGTCAAAATTCCATCAAACCGCTGTTGGAATTCTGTAATGTTGTGACCCCATTTCTTCTCCAACCAGGTTTCTAGGAAGAAAGAAGAAATAAATACTAAATTTTAAAATTAAGTAATTTCATTTTTATTACACTAGGTTATTTATACTCATAGAAATTTCATTTTGTACCTTAAAATAACCAAGAAAAATTTTCATGATTAGTCATTAAGAATTCTATTTTAGCCGGGTGCTGGTGGCTCATGCCAAATGGCAGAACATTCGCCTTGAGCAAAAAGCATCTCAGGGACAACATGCCCAGAGGTCAAACCTCAGGACCAAAATTTTTTTAAAAATCCATTTTACCAGTGCTGGAAGCTCACGACTGTAATGTTAGCTACTCAGGAGGCTTCCAGTTTGAGGCCCGCCTGGGCAGAAATGTCCATGAGGGTCTCATCTCCAATTACAATTAAAAAAAAACAAACTGTATATAGAGATGTAGTTGAAGTCATAGAGTGCTGCCAGCCTTGAATGAAAAATCCAAGCAAGAGTCAAGGCCCTGAGTTCAAGCCCCAGTAGTGGTGCATGCTGAGTACCAATGGCTCATGCCTAAAGTCCTAGCTACTTAGGAGTCAGAAACCAGGAGGATGATCAAAGCCTACCATGGCAGAAAGGTCTATGAGACTCCATCTTCAATTAACTAGCAAAACACCATGTTGGGGGCATGGCTCACAAAGTAGAACACCAGCCACGAGTGACAAAGTGGAGCAAGAAAAAAAAGAAAGTAAAAGGAAATCTCTAGTAGGATTTTAAAACTGTTGCTAATCAAAAAACGAATTTCTGAATGCAAATACACCCAAGATCAAAATAGATCATTTTAAAGAAAGTGATCATCTGAAATTATTGATGAGTTAGGGCACTAGGTCAAATCAAAGTTACTCTTTTGTTTCTACAAGGTAAAATCCTTTAATTCCAGTAATGTATTATTGATAAAAAGAGAAAAAGAAAAGAAAAACAGTTCCAAAAGCATTCCTAAATCATAGAGAGCCGCAGGAAATGCTCACCCATTAAAGCTGGCACACAAAAAGGCTCTGATACCTAACAAGGGGCTGGGAAGGTGGCTCAGTGGTAGAGCGCTTGCCTTGCATGCATGAGGCCCTGAGTTCGATTCCTCAGCACCACATAAGCAAAAAGAAAAGCCGGAAGTGGCGCTGTGGCTCAAGTGGTAGAGCGCTAGCCTTGAGCT